GGGGGCTTCATTATCATTATTTTTCAAAATTAACATATTTAAGGCAACGTGGAATATGAATGAATGCATTTTTCTTTTCTTTTTTGCATTCTGTAATGAATTATGATTGTCATATTTGTAATCCACTCATAATTGTCTACATATGGAAGGCTTCTGTCATTTTATTGGACTCTGAACAGAAAGTATGTCGTTGTGTGTTGAAGCTGTGCTATAGTATGTCGTTGTGTGTTGAAGCTGTGCTATAGTATGTCGCTGTGTGTTGACGCTGCGATATAGTATGTCATTGTGTGTTGACGCTGTGATATAGTATCTTGTTGTGTGTTGACGCTGTGATATAGTTTGTCGTTCTGTGTTGAAGCTGTGATATAGTATGTCGTGGTGTGTTGAAGCTGTGATATAGTATGTCGCTGTGTGGTGAGGCTGTGATATAATATGACGTTGTGTGTTGACGCTGTGATTTAGTATGTTGTTGTGTGTTGTCTCTGTGATATAGTATGTCGTTGTGTGTTGCCGCTGTGATATAGTATGCCGTTGTGTGGTGACGGTGTGATATAGTATGTCGTTGTGTGTTGCCGCTGTGATATAGTATGCCGTTGTGTGCTGACGCTGTGATATAGTATGTCATTGTGTGTTGACGCTGTGATATAGTATGCCGTTCTGTGGTGACGCTGTGATATAGTATGTCGCTGTGTGGTGAGGCTGTGATATAATATGACGTTGTGTGTTGACGCTGTGATTTAGTATGCCGTTGTGTGTTGACGCTGTGATATGTATGTCGTTGTTTGTTGACGCTGTGGTATAGTATGTCGTTTTGTGTTGACGCTGTGATATAGTATGTCGTTATGTGTTGACGCTTTGATATAGTATGTCGTTGTGTGTTGACTCTGTGATATATAGTATGTCGTTGCGTGTTGACGCTGTGATATAGAATGTCGTTCTGTGTTGAAGCTGTGATATAGTATTTCGTTGTGTGGTGAGGCTGTGATATAATGTGTTGACGCTGTGATATAGTATGTCATTGTGTGTTGACGCTGTGATATAGTATCTTGTTGTGTGTTGACGCTGTGATATAGTTTGTCGTTCTGTGTTGAAGCTGTGATATAGTATGTCGCTGTGTGGTGACGCTGTTGTATAGTATGCCGTTGTAGTATGTCGTTGAGTGTTGGCGCTGTGATATAATATGTCGTTGTGTGTTGACGCTTTGATATAGGATGTCGTTGTTTGTTGACGCTGTGGTATAGTATGTCGTTTTGTGTTGACGCTGTGATAAAGTATGTCGTTGGGTGTTGAAGCTGTGATATAATATGTCGTTGTGTGTTGCCGCTGTGATATAGTATGCCGTTGTGTGCTGACGCTGTGATATAGTATGTCATTGTGTGTTGACGCTGTGATATAGTATGTTGTTGTGTGTTGACGTTGTGGTATAGTATGCTGTAGTGTGTTTACGCTGTGATATAGTATGTCGTTGTGTTTTGACGCTATGATAAAGTATGTCGTTGTGTTTTGACGCTGTAATATTATTCAGATTGTCATATTTGTAATCCACTCATAATTGTCTACATATGGAAGGCTTCTGTCATTTTATTGGACTCTGACCAGAAAGTATGTCGTTGTGTGTTGAAGCTGTGATATAGTATGTCGCTGTGTGGTGAGGCTGTGATATAATATGTCGTTGTGTGTTGACGCTTTGATATGGTATGTCGTTGTTTGTTGAGGCTGTGGTATAGTATGTCGTTGTGTGTTGACGCTGTGGTATAGTATTGCGTTGTGTGTTGACGCTTTGATATAGTATGTCGTTGTGTGTTGACGCGGTGGTATAGTATGTCGTTGTGTGTTGACGCTGTTGTATAGTATGTTGTTGTGTGTTGACGCTGTGATATAGAATGTCGTTGTGTGGTGACGCTGTGATATGGTATGTCGTTGTGTGTTGACTCTGTGATATATAGTATGTCGTTGTGTGGTGAGGCTGTGATATAATGTGTTGACGCTGTGATATAGTATGTCATTGTGTGTTGACGCTGTGATATAGTATGCCGTGGTGTGTTGACGCTTTGATATTGTGCCTTTTTGTGTGGTGACGCTGTGATATAGTATGTCGCTGTGTGGTGAGGCTGTGATATAATATGTCGTTTTGTGTTGACGCTGTGATATAGTATGTCATTGTGTGTTGACGCTGTGATATAGTATGCCGATGTGTGTTGACGCTGTGATATAATATGTCGTTGGGTGTTGACGCTGTGATATCGTTTGTCGTTGTGTGTTGAAGCTGTACTATATATAGTATGTCGTTGTGTGTTGACGCGGTGGTATAGTATGTCGTTGTGTGTTGACGCTATGATATAGTATGTCGTTGCGTGTTGACGCTGTGATATAATATGTCGTTGTGTGTTGACGCTGTGATATAGTATGTCGTTCTGTGTTGAAGCTGTGATATAGTATGTCGTTGTGTGGTGAGGCTGTGATATAATATGTCGTTGTGTGTTGACGCTGTGATATAGTGTCGTTGCGTGTTGACGCTGTGATATATAGTATGTCGTTGTGTGGGGATGCCGTTGTGTGTTGACGCTGTGAAGATATATTGACAGAGGACGCAGTCCAAGGTCAATATATCTTTTCTCGGGTCGATTAATCCAGGTATCGACCGAAGTCAAAGGCTACCATTGTTTTTTTTATTTTCAAAAGAGTAATGTTAGCAATCTGAAAAAAAATCACAGCAAAAATCTACGGAAGCGGGACGATGCGTTTGTTTGGAGACACGTCATAATTCTATTTTTAGAAACACACAGTCCTTCAACAAAAGTCAATATCCGTTTTTATCGGTGGACACGTGATGCACTCCTGGCCAATCACTTGTCGGGAATAATATGAAAAAATAATAAAGTATGTTGTTGTGTGTTGACGCTGTGATATAGTACGTCGTTGTGTGTTGACGCTGTGATAAAGTATGTCGTTGTGTGTTAACGCTGTGGTATAGTATGCTCTAGTGTACTGACGCTGTGATAAAGTATGTCGTTGGATATAGTATGTCGTTGTGTGTTGACGCTGTGATGTGGTGACGCTGTGATATAGTATGTCGTTGTGTGTTGACGCTGTGGTATAGTATGCTCTAGTGTGCTGACGCTGTGATAAAGTATGTCGTTGTGTGTTAACGCTGTGATATAGTACCTTGTTGTGTGTTGATGCTGTGATATAGTATGTCGTTGTGTGCTGACGCTGTGGTATAGTATGCTCTAGTGTGCTGACGCTGTGATAAAGTATGTCGTTGTGTGTTGACGCTGTGCTATAGTATGTCGTTGTGTGGTGATGCTGTGATATAGTATGTCGTTGTGTTTTGACGCTTTGATATAGTATGTCGTTGTGTGTTGACGCTGTGATGTGGTGACGCTGTGATATAGTATTGTTGTTGTGTGTGACGCTGTGCTATAGTATGTCATTGTGTGGTGATGCTGTGATATAGTATGTCGTTGTGTGTTGACGCTTTGATATAGTATGTTGTTGTGTGTTGATGCTGTGCTATAGTATGTCATTGTGTGGTGATGCTGTGATATATAGTATGTCGTTGCGTGTTGACGCTGTGATATAGTATGTTGTTGTGTGTGGATGTCGTTGTGTGTTGACGCTGTGATATAGTATGTCGTTGTGTGTTGACGCTGTGATATAGCATGCCGTTGTGTGTTGACCATGTGGTATAGTTTGCTGTTGTGTGTTGACGCTGTGATATAGCATGTCGTTGTGTGGTGACGCTGTTGTATAGTATGTCGTTGTGTGTTGAAGCTGTGATAAAGTATGTCGTTGTGTGTTGACGCTGTGGTATAGTATGCTGTAGTGTGTTGACGCTGTGATAAGTATGTCGTTATGTGTTAACGCTGTGATATAGTATATAGTATGTCGTTGTTTGTTGACGCTGTGGTATAGTATGCTGTAGTGTGTTGACGCTGTGATATAGTATGTCGTTGTTTGTTGACGCTGTGATATAGTATGCCGATGTGTGTTGACGCTGTGATATAATATGTCGTTGTGTGTTGACGCTGTGATATAGTATGTTGTTGTGTGTTGACGCTGTGGTATAGTATGCTGTAGTGTGTTGACCATGTGGTATAGTTTGCTGTTGTGTGTTGAGGCTGTGATATAGTATGTCGTTGTGTGTTGAAGCTGTGATGTGGTGACGCTGTGATATAGTATGTCGTTGTGTGTTGAAGCTGTGATGTGGTGATATAGTATGTCGTTGTGTGCTGAAGCTGTGATGTGGTGACGCTGTGATATAGTATGCTGTAGTGTGTTGACGCTGTGGTATAGTATGCTGTAGTGTGTTGACGCTGTGATAAGTATGTCGTTATGTGTTAACGCTGTGATATAGTACCTTGTTGTGTGTTGACACTGTGATATAGTACTTTGTTGTCTGTTGACGCTGTGATATAGTTTGTCGTTGTGTGTTGACGCTGTGATTTAGTATGCCGTTGTGTGTTGACGCTGTGATA